TACAACAACTATGGGGGTTGTTTTCCATTACTGGATGTAAGTTCAGGCGTTCTGCAGCCGCGTTATGATCGGAGTGGTTTATCGAAACACAATGATGCGTTGACCACAACTATTACTTTCTTAACTATAATGCTACCATTCGTAATTGCTGAAATGGCCAACAGTTTGCCACTTTCGGTGGCTTAATGTCCTTGATGAAAGAACTTTTTATTCGCGTTAGTAGCAACAAAATTTATCACACTTTCTACATAAATCGTGAGAAACTAAAACACAAGCGAGTTACACGACATCTACAAACACAGGCGGGCGAATGACAGAGAATATTTTGTCTAAATTCGCCGCCGGTGGTGCTGTTCCCATTATAGATGCTGCGTTTCCCGCTGAATTTCGATGCTGATCCGTTAACGCAGAAACTCTAGTGCTCGCGGTTCGCCTGACTGCTGCTGGATCATCTTTCCTAGCACGTTCAGCAGCTGGGTGGTTTCTGGTCCGAATGTTCCGTAGATCTCGAAAGCCAGGGGTCTGAACCAGTAATCCTGGGTGATGTTGCGGTATTTCTTGGTCTTGCTCCGCGCGGCTAACGCTGCTGCCGCTCCGGCTCGAGTGGATGTGGCTGCGATGTATGACAAGGCCATGGTGTTGCGGCAGGTTACATCCCAGGCCAGCGCCTTTCCTCTTTCCCACGGGAAATTGTCACTCCGTCCGGTCGTTTGCCATCTGTGCGGGAGATTCCGGTAGGTTCCAGCTCAGTTTCAGTTTCGGCCGATGCATGGGCGCGCTTGATTACCGCTTTGAGGCTTTCATGGGTCGGTTTCCGTCCGGCACTGAACTTGCAACTTGAACCATGATATCCATGCTCATCCGCTTGGTCACCGCAAAGGCACTGGTGTGGTGTGCATACCGGTGCACGAAGGCGCAGCGCTACAGCTGTCCTTAGGCTTGAGTCGTTCAGTAAGTTCCCAAGGGATGCCGCCGGTAGTGCTTGGAGCCATGCACCCGCCTCTTTGGTGCTGACTGCTAGGATCCGCGCCTGACTGGCGATACCGTCTTCAAAAGCCCGTTCCAACTGTCTCAGTTGTGACCTTATACAGTAATAGGTTCGTCCCAAGTTTTCTGCATTCCCCGAACTTCAGGTGGTTGCGCGTCTTGATTCGCCATCTGCTGCCATTTGGTGGTTGGTTCACTGCAATACGTCTCCGGCTGGAAATTCGTAATGGCGGAGGCTAAGGGAGCTATTGAATAAGCCGAGGCCAGAAAGGCCGGCAGTGCTAGCTTTACAATGTTCCTAATGTCCTTGATAATTGATGCATTGATTGCTGGTCTCTTGAACAGGCTCAGCCTTAGACTGCTACGCATACAACAGGTATATAGCTAAACGCCCCGTTTAGGAATGATCTCCGAAGTAGCCCCAAACCCACCCAAAAATTTTTGTAGAAGAAGCTGCTTAATTCAGTTAGCGCTACGATTACTGGACAATTCTTAGCCATACAGAATTTTTAAGAGCCGAAATTCTATCTGTTGTGAAGGGGTGTATGTATCTGTACGTACCTGTACAATAATTATAATTTTTTTTATAAAGATGTTTTAATGGTTAATGACTGTCATGTTCACAGAAAATTTCACAATAACCTCAGAAACGATCACGCTAAACAACAATCGACAGAGGCGGCCTAATCACAGAGAAAATTTGGTTTAAATTTGCCCCTATCGGCGCTTAATAATTATAATCGGCCTCCTAATAATTATAATTATTAACGTTTCAATGCCGCGTGTAAGTATTTAAGGGATTTGGCCCAGTACATAGCACCAAATTCGTGTACATACACGGGAATTTTCGCTGTCGCGCACTGCATTACTTTATGGTATTTTGTAGCCAAAAGATTTGTATACATAGACGTGAATTCCGTTGTTCCGCGCAACATCCGGTTCGGAAGTTATGGCTGTTAGAAAATTCCAAAAAGTTTAAATGCATTCAGGTGTACCAAAAGCCTCATTATGGACCGATCCCTTTCAAATTTTGCAGGTGAATGCGCATGACCATGGAGATCATCCTTACACCGATCCACTGTCCTAGTATGCTTTCAAATTTTAAAATGAATTTCAAAAGTTTTAAAATTCATTTTAAAATTCGAAAAAAATCGTGGAAGTCTGGATCCGTGTAAGAACGATCTTTATGGTTATGTGTATTTACGTGCAAAAAATTTGAAAGGGGCGTAATGAGACTTTTGGTACACCTAAATGCATTTAAACTTTTTGGAATTTTCTAACCGCCATAACTCCCGAACCGGATGTTGCGCGGAACAACGGATTTCACGCCTATGTATTCAAATCATTTGGCTACACAATGTCAAAAAGCAATCCAAAAAAGTGTTGGAAGTGCGCGAAAGCGAATATTCCCGTTTATGTGCACGAATTTGGTGCTATGTAATGGGCCAAATCTCTTAAGCTCGTGCTGCATGCACGTACTTTTCTGGTATGATTCTGTATGTTAATACCGGGTTAGGTAAGGAAAAGCGATATAAAGGTCATAGTCTAGCGAGACCATTCTCTTGTTTTGTAGATGGTAGCGTACATCAGATGGACATGTTACATTGTCGAGCCGAAAGAGGAATTTTATGGCGTTTGATCTCAATGTCACTTACGCCACCGCATCAGCGAAAGTGACCCGCTTAAATATTTGTGCAGCGTGAGTACAGTAGTCTGCCACCACTTGCGTCTCGTGGGTTTGCGGTGGCTCCTCAAGTCACCGACCGTCTTGTGCTTCCCGCTAATTTACATTTATTTAAATATTTATTTACATTTATTTATATGTGTATATTTCTTTTATTGTAGATAATTTATATTCTGAACAATTTCGTATAAGATGTGGGCGTATAGGCAGACGTACGCGGGGATATTTGGCGCAGAGCGCGAGACAGAACTTGCCGCCGGTCTGCTTCTGCTGGCGCCCGCTGAGGGCGCTGCCGCGCTGCTCCGCGGCGAACTGCAGGATCAGCTGGTCCTCCGCATCGGAGAACTTGGTGTTCGTTCGCTTCCGGCGGCCGTTGCCGAGGCCCATCTTGCGGTCGACCGGTCCCAAGGGGCGTGCCATATTCAGCTACATTTAATTCGTTACCGTATACTTAATTTATATATATTTATATTAAATTTGAACAATAAATTTATTTTTAATTCACATATACCATCACTGTCCATCAGTATTTATTTCATTACAAATTTACAGTATTAACCCGTCGCAATTAAGAATGTACATTATTTTTAACAAAATTATTTTCCATGATAACGGTTTATTTATGCTGAGTTTCGCGCAATAAATAATTTCCCAATGTACCGGCATAAATAGTTTATTAAAATTTAAAATATCGATTTTTTTAATTCATTAAAATATTGATAAGTCGCCAATAATTGTTCCCGGTTTCAACAGGGAATTATTTAGTAATGGCTTAATACTTACTTTAGTGATGTACAATTTATCTGTTTAATTAAAATATGGACAAGTCACGATTAATACGAGTAATTTTCAGTTGCCCAAGGAATTAATAAAATATTAATTTAATTCCATGAATTACTAGCCACTCTCACTCGCATTGCATAATTTCCAGATTTATCTATTTTATTAAAGGTCACTTCTATGCGCTATACCTTGGAGGTTACCGGAAGATTTACGCCGAATAATTAACACGTCGGAATTAATAATTTCCGGGTGCAGTAAGAATTCTTATTTTACTAATCATTTAATAAGTCACCCGTCAAAATAATTCCCAGCTATTTATGAAAACATTAATAAGCCCTAATTACTGATTTCCAGTTGAAATATAGACTGTTTAAGAACAACAAGGTCTAGTAAATAATTGGCAATCGGTAATTAATGCTCTCAGAATTTATTTCATCCAGACAGACGCGGATACAACGCTAATACGTCTGGGTTAATAATTTCCATAGAATACATTAAATTGCCATATAATACTTATTAACACTGACAAAAATTAAGAAATCATCAGTAAATCGTCAATTAATTGTATACGGTCGGAAATCCGTGATATGCTGCTTTTCCTCGGTAAATCGGAAAATATATACGGACTTCCGCCGGATTACCGGCACATTACACTTACCAGCTGTCCAGGAAGAAAAATCAAAGAAATCCAGACAGGAAAAAGCCAGGATAAAACTGCGGTATAATGCGGAAAAATTGCCGTGTGATAAAAAAATAAGAAAAAAACACTGGTAACCGTTGCTGTTCGGATTGTGTTGTGACTGGTGCAAAACAGCAGTCAGAGTGGAGCGGATGCGCGGGAGCAGTGCGGCGACAAGCGCGTCGCGGCGCAACGCGAAGTCGGCGTACGACTCACGTCACCGCCCGTGACGGCGGCAACAACAGCGCCGACGGCGTCAATGCGCGCCGGATGCCGGTTACCAAAGCCGCCAAGCCGTCGGCCGCTCTGCTGCCGGCGGCCGCGTCCAGTGGGCGTGGTTTCTTCATTACGCGGTTAAAATCAGTGCTCTGGGTGTTTTTATCAGTTTAATTTTCTTCTTTATGTCCTTGTTGTCTTCGTGTGGTTAATTTGTTATCAAATTTTACCACAATTATTAATAACCAATTACGAATGAATAATGATAATTTATCCTACAAAAATTTATCGATATAATTCGTATTAAATAATTGTAAAAATGTATTCAGCACTTTTTCATAGCAGTTTAATTTACAAACCTACCAATCATTCGTAAATTAATCAGTTCAATTATTATAAATATTACTATTAAAATTAATATTTATTATAAAATATTAAACATTGCACAAACTTCATTACAATTTATCTGTTGTAAAAAAATACCAGCAGCTCCATAATTAATCATTTCCACAATTCAATAATTCCTAATTCCACAATCGCGTTCCGATATTTTCTACCGTACATATTTCTTATTTCCCATTTATTTATTCCATCGCTTCCGCATTTATTCACCCGACTATTTATTATAAAAATAAATGAATAATAATTCACATGATTAAATTTGATTAATAAATTATCGCCAACAATTCGGAATTAAAAATTGTTTTAATGGCCCAACTTCGACGACGATGCTGTTTAAAAATTTTATCAGAATGCACACACAAACTGGCAAAAAACGCAACATTATGGCAGCGACAAACCAGCAGTAAACGCCGGATAATCAAGCAACAACATAATCCGGGTAAATAAAAATACTAGGAAATATTTTGTAAAAAATGACGAATAATCCAGCGATTAATATTATACAACCTCCGTGACTGCCGCCCGGCGGGAGAACACATCCGCACGATAAAACAAGGATGAACTTCAAGATAACATGGTGTCGCTGGCGAAATCCGGCTCCGGCGCCTTGTCGGCGCTCTTCCCGTTCTCCAGGACGCCCTCCATGGGGACGGCGGTGGGCGGGGCCGCGGGAGGGTACAGGGGGTCGCCCGGCAGGGGCTCCACGTCCAGGACGCGCGCCCAGTCCTCCGTCAGCCAACGATTCAACAATTCCTATTAATTAAACAGAAAAAAGTGAATTACTGGTGATTAAATAGAAGAAAATTGAGATAAATGGAATTTATCCGTTTTTGAGGGGCGTCGACGTACCGCGGTGCCGCGGGTCACGGCCACGCGCTCCGCCCCGCTCAGATCCCCCAGAATGTCCACGGCGCCGCGCTCGCACGGATCCTTGAACCCGTTCGGACAGCCTACAGATGCCAATCGCGTTGCGTCAATTTTACCGGATTTATTTCCGATTTTTCCAAATTTCTCGAGTTTTTCGTTTTTTTTTTATTTCAACTGTTTCTCCATTTAACCACACGTTTTACTGGTTTTCCTGTACCCGTAATTTATCTTATTTTTTCCGTTTATTTTTCCATTAATCATCCATTCCCGGAATCTTCCGTAATAATCTCATAATTATTCTGTTTTTTCTCATTTAATGATTCACCAAACAATCCACAAGCTTTTTTCTATTTCAAAGTTGCACCGTATTCATTTAAGTTTCGCGCAAAATTATTTAGCGCTGTTTTGTGACGAATTCTTCCAGTCATCACTAATCTATTCATTTTATCACCTGTTTTTTTGCAAGTATCAATTTATTTATTTGAACGTTTTGCCTGTTTATTCTCCCTTTATTTAACCATTTATTCATTTTATTTTCTAGTGACATTTTTTCCTTACCTGACACTGACATTTATTCCATAATTTATTTTATTCTCCTATTTGCTTGTTCAAATAATCATTTCATTGTAAAAAATTTCATTAAAAAAAATTTAAAATTTAAAAAAAAAATATAATAATAATAATAATATATTATATAATAATATTTTAATTTTAAAATTTCATTAAATTTCATTGTAATTTAATTTCATTTCATTGTACTTTTACTCTTAGTTATTGGCATTTATTCATTTAAAATTTTGTCCTATTTCTACCGATCATTAATATTTAATTCCATCATCCATTTATCGGATGATTTTCCCCCATTTATTTTTAATAAATATTTGTTTAATTCCCGGTGCTGTTTGTTCTTACCCGGCAGGAAGCAGCCCGAGGCGATGGTGGAGAGGATGAGCCAGAAGGCCTCGGCCAGCGGGACGTCGGCGGGCGTGATGCCGTGGTAGCCGGCCTGCGTGCGCAGCACCGTGATCGTCAGGTACTCCACCGGCTGCTCCACGCACCAATCACCATCCAAATTAATTCAATTATTACGAAAAAATTGTTAAGATATTCCTCACCCATCCGGCCAGCTCACGCAGCGCCGCGTGGTGCTCCAGCACGTGATTGAGAATGCGCATCAGCATGCGGCACTGCGGGAAGAACGCAATGAACTCCTGCAGCCACACCAAACACACACCGCGTTATCATGCGTACACTGATAGCATTTTCTCAGGGATGGTGTGCGCGCCAAAGCTGCTGTAAACTCACTGGTTTTCGCTTCAGCGTTTCAACTCTGTTTCACCACTTATTATAAGCGAAAATAATGTCCATTGAATTTTTTTATTTAATCACCGGTATCTAACAATATTTTGATTGTAATAACACCTCCTTGAAAATGTCCAGCAAATGTTCTATTTTATTTCTACAATTTTTCTGCTATTTCATTTTCTACGCCAGACTATTTAGATTGCCATAAAAATTGTACAGAATCTCAAATAAATTTTGCTCCCAATTTTTTCTTACCCTGTCTCACTTAGTCAATATATAAGCACATATTGGTAATTTATGCGATAATTAAACTACTACTCGTAACTATAGAAAATCAATTTGCAAATCTCCGCTTACGCCGACATACAATCAACTTAAATGACCGGTAGACTGCATTATCGCATAACAATACCGAATAGCATGGACAACGGGTAAAACACAGCTGAATGGAAGAATAAGGTTGTATTCTATTCCCCACCTGAAACCAGCGAGTTCGCCGACTGTGCGCCAGAACGGTCAGCGAGCGCTTCACATCCAGCGCCCCCGCCGCGTCCAGCCCGGGGCCGACGACGACCGCGGCAGCTGTGACGGGCGCCGTGATCATCGTCTGACCGGCGGCCGGGGCGGGCGCGGCGGCGGACGCGGGCCCGTCGGCACGGAGGCCGTCCGGACCGCTGCCATTGGCCGTCGGGCCTGCGATGACCGCCGAGGAGGACGGCGGCAGCGTCGGCAGCGCCCCCGCGGGCGGTGGCGGAGGGGCGCCACTGCCCGGGCCTTCCTGACCCTCCGCCGCACTGCTTCCAGCTGCTGCTGCTGCTGCGTTTGCCTTCTCTGCAGGGGACAGAAGAGACAGATGGCCAATAATACACACTCACAAGCACAATGGACAGACGCTGGACACGGCGCTGCACGGCGTCGGCCCCGTCTCCAATCACAGAGAGAAGGCAAACAGAATCCAGCATGATTATTCGCTGTGCTGCGTATAGAACTACTACGCCACCGACAACCTACCGGTCTCCAGTCGCGCCAGCTCGTCGCGCAGCCCTCCGAAGGCCATGTACACCCACACGGGATAGATGCCCGCCTTGTCCTCCCCGGGACGCTCCTCCTGCACGAAAATGCCGCATTTCTCCGGCGTCGGGATCACCGCGAACTCCCTATTCCCCTGCAGCATCTATCCAACCAAACATCCGTTGGGGAATTCAATTTGTTAACTGCTGACAATTACATTTCATCATAATCATCAGTTTGATATCGACAACACTTTCATCCGACTCAGATTCGAATAAGTAGTAATTTCTTATTATCAAATTCTATCAGAATAAGATCTGCATTCGATAAGTGATGATATTTAACACAAATCATATTAAATTTAAAAATTAAAATTGATGACGATTACATTTAAAATTCACCAAGAATCCTAGCTGATGGCAAATAAATTTACAATTAATTTAACAAAAATAAAATTCCACTGGGAAAAATTTACAAGCACCTGAAATTAAATACATACTTTACAGCAACCGTGAATCCAGTCGTGTTTGTCATTCTAGGACTACGAATCTAGGAATAATAACGCGCAGTACACAATAATGATCGTCGTACCTTCAACTCGGCTTTCAGCGCGTTGGCCACCATGGTCATGTCGTCCTCGCAGGGATGCCGATTGCAGATGAGCAGCACCTCCCCGACTATATTGTCGCTGGTCAGTAGATTCTTACTCATCCGTCCGAAGCGGTACGCGCCCTTCAGCATCCGCTGCGGCGGCGCCGGCGCGGCAACCACAGCAACGGCAGCGCCCTCTTCCATTTTCACGCCCACAGCTTTTTCCTCCGTTCTGCAATCAACACCGTCCATTTTATCATCAAAACCATGGTCGCACCGGACAAAAACCAAAAGAAATTCAAAGAACTACAAATTACAACGAAAAAATAATTTGCAAAGCCCGCGTACATTTTTTCGTAAATAAGTACGTAATAATTTTATTAAAAAATTAATTAGAAAACAGTAAATTAAATTACTCCACAGTACTGTAATAAAAAAATTTAATAAAAAATAACAAATATATAATAAAAAAGAAATTGATAATTTCAATAAAATAATAACAATAATTTACCGAAAAAAACCCATAACACATACGTAAATAATTATAGAATAAAAATTTAATTTCGCATTTAATCACTTATCGTTGACGTACGGGAACATGAGCCTCTCGGCGACGGTCTTGAGCGCCTTCTCCACCTCCACCAGCATCCCGTTCAGCTGGTTCAAATCCGCCGCCCGCGGGGTGATGGCCCGGTGTTTATGCAGCAGATACTGCTGGTCCATCCGCACCGCCGCCACCGGCACCGGCGACGCACGCGCCCGCGGCGGCGACCCGTCCTCCATCCTCCCACCCCCTCCCATCCCTTCCATTCTTCCGGGACCTGGCGGGAAGCGTCCCGTTTCTACCGGCGCCGGCAACAACGGTCCGGAGGCCCGCGGGGGCACGTACAGCGCCCCGGGGGGTTCCTGGTACCGCGGATAATGTCCCAACAGTCCGCGCGGTGGCCCCGGGGGCGGCGCGTCGTTATAGGGTCCCGGCGGGGGGCCGTAGCGGTCGTGGTGCACGGGGTAGGGCTCGTAGCCCATCGGTTCGTAGCCCATGGGAGGGGGGCCGTAGGGGTCCGGACCCGGGGGCGTCCATTGCGGCGGGCCGGGGATGGGGCGGCGAACGCGTTTGGGCGGGGAGGGGGGGCCGCCGGGCGGCGGGCCGGGGCGTTTGGGGGCCCGGGGGGCGGCCTGGGCCGCGAGGCGTTTGTTGCGCTCGTTCAGCTTCTTCTGCGCGTTAGACGGCTCCACGACGATCGACGGGTCCACTTTTTTCTACAAACATCCCAAATTTAGCCATCCTTATGGTAAATAAATTATCGTCTTATTAAAACTGCAAATTTAATAAAATTATTTTAATCAAAAATAAAAATTCAATATTAAAAACAGCAATAAAAATAGTGGACTCAATTAATGCGGAAAAAATCAATTTGACACAAACACTAATCACTTCCACCAAACTGGATAATCGTGCAAATTACTGGAACAAAATAAAAGGAAGAATAAATTAGTGGGAATAATCAAACGCGAATTTATGTGACATTTCCACCGCACTTTCGTTGCTACTTTTCAACGTAAATTAAATACTAATAAAAAAATAAATTATAAATTAGTACCAATTTCATAACTAAATTTTTAAAAAAACCCAGCAAATAATAAATTAAAAGCAGATAAAAAATATAAGTAGAGGATTCAAATAATGTGTACGCACCTGGTAGCTGGTGCGATGGCGGCGGCCGCGGATATGCGAATTCATCCCTGACTCGTCGGAGAACTCGCAGTCGCAGAGCGTGCACTTGTAGTAAGCCACCTTGCCCTCGCGCTCCTGCTTCTGCACGTACTCCTGCCCGATGGGGTCGGCGCCGGCAGTGTTGGGGTTGACCATGTGCTTGATGGGGATCTTGGGGCGCGCCTGGGCGGGTGCCTTGGGGGGCGGCGGCGGCGGTGGGGGCATCGCTGTCAACAGTGAAGGATGACGATCAGGGAGACGGTCACTTGTGCTAATAAAAAAGGGACTCACCGGAGGCCGCGGGGGGCGGCGGCGGGGCGCCGGACGTCGGCACCTCCTGCATCCCCGTGTTGGTGGTGGTCAACACCGTCCCGCCCACAAAGTTCATCTTGGGCGTGATCAAAACCGTCTTCCCGCCCGTCACCTAAATACTTGTGCCATTTTTTAAAATATTAAAATAAATTATTAGGTAGCAACGAATATTAAATCTATTCAAAATCATCACATTTATTGATAAATAAAATATTAATTAAATTAATAAAAAGTAGTTAAAATAGAAAAAGCTTGTCAGTCAAAAACTGAAAATACAGCACTAAAATAAGCCAATATTACTCGTATCTACTGAATAGCAATAAAATTCTGGCCGTTACTTAAACATTTTTAACTTTTACCAATTTAAAAAGATGAAAATAACGTCTGATCCAGTGTAAAGAAGAAAACAATCCAAAACTGAGAGAAATTTGTGAGAATTTGTCCGTACCACTTTGGTGCAGATGGAGGAGCCGGTGCTGGGCCCGCTGCTCGTCGGCGTCCCGATGGTCGGCAGGGTGCGCTGCGTCACCGTGGGCTCGTTGACCGGAATGGGTTTGCCCAGTTTCATGTGCAGCTTCAGCGTCTACTCAAAAAAGATCGTCACTGCTTGCCGTCTCATTTAAAAACTAAAAAAATCACTCTCCCATTCCATCTCACTGAATTTCAAAATTACAATTTCCAAAAAAAAGTGTTTAAAAATTCCCAACAGCCTGGATAATCTGCTCGCAAAAGAAAATTGGCTACAGCAGCTGAATATATTAATACAATATCTGGAAAATATTTATAAAATCGTACTACTAACAAAAACAAAGATTAAAAAAAATAATAATAAATTCAATGAGGATTTTACCCGTTGATGGCTCTTGCCGTTAAGATGCGCCTCATAGGCCTGCTGTCCGGCCGTGTGCACGCCGCACAGCTCGCAGAAGATGCTGCGTCCGTGCGGCCCGGGACGGTGGGGAAACGCGGCCGGGGGCGGGGGCGCGGCGACGGCGGCGGGGGTCGAAACGCTGGGAGCAGGGGGCGCTGGTGTTGCGCCGGTCCCGGAAGCGGCCGGCGCCGCAGTGGCCGCCGGAGCCGGGGGTCCGGACAGCTGTTTGGCCTGCTCTTCGCGGCGCTTATGTTTGGCGCCCACCAGATGCGCTTTGAAGGACTACAAATGAAGATTAAGAAATGAAAATTACATGCAAATGAAAATAAAGAATTAAAACGGCACGGATCCAGCCCCAGTTGAAAATTATGGCGTACCGTGGCGCCCGCGCAGACGATCTTGCAGATGTCACAGTAGTGCTGCACTTGCTCCTCGGGATTTTTCGGTTTCACGGGAAATCCACGGCCTACAACGAATGAATTCATTTTTTTGCGAAAAATAATTATTTAACAATTATTTAACAATTTTAATTGTAACGCGGTATCGAAGAAAATTGTGAGAAACGATCAGCTGAATAAAAAAAATCAGCTGAATAAAATTATTTTCGCTAACGAATTGAAAGATCTATATTTACCAAATCGTTAAGTTAATTACGGGTTCGTTTAATGAATATTTATTAATGATTTTTTTGTAACGGGCAACATACAAAAACTGGAAAATGTCGATGAAAAAAATTTAATTCACTAATAATTCAAATAATCATTTAATTATTTCATTAAAATTAACAGTGAACTAAAAATAATATTCGCCATCCCAGCCACCGAAAAAACGTTTAAAAATGTCGCTATAATTGTCAAAAAGCTGCGCAAAAATTAATATCGGTGCAGAGTCGCAGACTAGAAATTACATAGAAAAAATTTGAATTTATTCTGTATTTATTTTGTTTTTAGAATTACTAATAATAATACACAAAATAGAAAAATGTTCAAAAATATATCTTTTTATTAATCCAATAAAAATTTCAAAAAATAAAAAAGACGTGATTTCAAGACTTTCAATAAAACCGTGAAAAAAGCAGGAGAATAAACGTACCTGGTCCGCCAAAACTGCCGCGACCCCCGCGGAAACTCCCGCGCCCGCCCCGCGCGGTGGATCCCCCGCGGGGCGCACTGCTAGTGGTGGACACCGTGGGATTCATCTGTTCCACACGGCTCTTCCAACTGGAATTGGCATCCGATCCGCCCGATTGCAGATTCTGCGAGTAGGTCGACGCGTACGGCTTGCTGGGCGGCTGCAGACCGCGCTCTGCCAACATGGCCGTCGCCGCCGAGTACACCGCGGCATCCAGACCGGAATACATCTGGCTATCTGCAAAATCACCGCGGTCGAGGAAAAAAGTCGCTAATGAAAAGAAAAAACAAGTCTACGTACTCTGCTGCTGCTGCGAATAATTGCTATACTGCGTGGTCTGTAAATACAGCGCAACGGGTTAGGATTCTGTATGTGATACAAGATGGCGGGTGATTAGTACAGGGAATTACGTACCGCGGGTGGATACTGCACGGTCCCGTACTGCAAAATCGAAAACACGGTTAGGACTTAGCGATTTTCGATGGGAATTTTGCGCTTACGTTGGCCTGCACTGGATAGCCAGAATAGGCCCCCGCATAGGCCTGCTGGGGGTCCATGTTGTACGCCACGGGAGCCGCGCTGAAACAAGATTCGAACGTCAGCATTCGACTGGTAAAAACGCAACACAGAAATCGCGTACTTTGCCGTGAAGGGATTATACATGGCTGCGCTCAGCGGATGAAACGTTCCTCAGTTCCAGATTCTACACCATCCGCGAGTAAGGTTCTGCGAAAATCGGGAGGTTTCTGAATCTACGGTTGCCGTGGCAAGAAAACAAGGTCCTTCGATCCTTAAATCAAGGGAAACAGCACAACGAGCCACCTGGCAATTTTCCAATAAAAAACTGACTTGGCAAATTTAGATCGAAAAATTGTAATACGGACTAGGATGGGTGCAACGTAGTTGAGGAAGTGTGGCGGTTGCCGTGGCGACAGTCTTATTTGCGTTGTAAATCTCCCTGACGGCGGTTTGGTGAATTATCCGAAACGCGCTCTGACATGAATTTCTGCTGTTGATTTTTCCATTTTCAACTTTTCCGAAGGACGTAGCGCTGCATACGTCCACGGGTATATATATATATGTATGTATATATATACCTGTAGGTATGGATCCATGTCGAATCCTATTGTAACTTGTAAGTTTGTAACACAGGATAGGGAAAAACTGAGCTTGTAACTGAGGACAGACAGAACGTTTACTGACAATAGAGAGAAATTTACTGTAAACTCAAGAGACAGAAATGCTGTAACTCAGGATGGGCAGAGATGCAGAGGCAGAGGTGGAGCATGTATGTGAACAGTGAAAGAACGCACTGAATGTCATCGTCAGTTGATCCAAAGTTTCAAGCACTAGTTTTTCGTTTACCTTTCCATAAAACTTCCTAACCAACATCTCAGAAGATAGAAAGAAAAATTTGACGCTTTTTGATCTCTGATAAGTGTTTTTGTGGGGAACCAAGAAAGTTATGCTTGTTTGGTTTCTCGTAGATATAGCATAGGGTGCAAGCAACGCCTCCAACGGACGGACCTATGCTAAGTCTACGAGAAACCAAAAACAAAATCTAACTTTCTTGGTTCTCCATAAAACCTACTCAAAATATCAAAAATTCTAAAATTTTATTCTCTATTCTGAAACATTAACTGGGAAGGTTCGTTAAAGTGACAACGAAAACTGATGCTGCAAGTTTTGGAGATAGTGGCAGTCGGAATCAGGTACCCAAAGTCGAGACTAATACTGTACACGTATGCGCGTACGCGAGGTGGTTGCACTTGCCGCAGACTATTTCGCTAAAATAGCCGTCCAGCTTGCACTCAGGCAATCTTCCCAGTAAACAACTCCACAACAGAAGTTTTTTGCAGTTATTATGTAATAAAACCCGTCCTTCGGAACAGTCCCCACGGGGGACGCCCCGCTAGGGTTTTTGAGCTTGTAACTGCTTGTTTTCAGTTTTCCTTCAAACTGTTTTTGATCGAATTTTGATCTGCGTTGTTGCAGTTTGTTGTTCCTGATAATTTGAACATTCCTGATTGAGTGTGTTGCGTCCAGTTGACAGCAGGATCAAGGAGTGGTGTTGTGGAAGCGGGAAGATGTCGGACGGAGAGCCAGCTGGTGTTGGTGGTGGCAACGCTGATGCTAACGCTGTGGAACCAGCCGCGGCGCAGAACGATACCGTCGCTCCAGCGGAGACCAATCCCAAAACGCTGGTGTGCGAACGCTGTGGCTCAAAGATTCTCCTGCCTAATTGCGCGACATCCGTCTGCAAAAAGGTGGGTAGTGAATGCTAGCAGATTAAAAACTGAGGAGACGAATTCTGGTTTGACGTTGCTGTTAGTGTTGTTGCAAGTCAGCAAGTGCTACATAAGTCATGGCCTGATCAGATTCGCGTATCAATAATCATGAATAATGATGCTAAAAATAAAATTTTGTCCATAAAAGTTGATTGGTTGATAATCTGCTGGTTCTGCGAGAACGTCGGCATTTTGAATTCAAGATTTTAGTCTAATTGATTCAAATTGAAATTTAATTAGGGCAATATATTGAATTTAAATTATTTCATAAAAGTTTTATCGGTAGAAAAATTAATTTAATTATTTTATCTAGACCAGTTTAATAAAAGTTATAAAAAGCTAAAAATTGGTAGAAATCAGGACAATATGTATGAAATTAGGAACAATAAAAATCTGAAAATATACAGTAAGTACCGTTTAAAATAAGTATGTCCTATAATCGTTTTTGAGAGAAAATAAAAATTTAAACTTATCCGCTAAAATGAAAACACGGAATAATGCAGTACTTTATGATTTCATTTTAGCGGATATTTTCCCATTTGCATTTTTATTAATATTTCTCAGTATCTGACAGGAGTATGATTTTCTGTAATTGAAAATCCGGGTAAATATAAATAAGCAGTAAAGTACTCGTACTAATAAAAATCTGGTAACAAATCCGTAAAAATAAAAAGAACAAAAATAATGATGAACCAAATCTGAGAAGTCTGCCAAAATAAAAATATGAAATTCTTTATGAATTCGTAGAAGCAAAAACATGTAAATTAACAGAGTGCAAAATCTGCTCAAATAATACGTAAAAATTAAAAGCACTAAGTAATTGTAAGTTAGAAATGAAAAATAAGAATCTGTAAAATTTCCCTAAATTAAAAATAAAATGTGAACTAAAAATAATGTATAAAAATGTATAATTATATGACTAGTACAGATACCTACAGGCTACAGTCTAAATAAAAATAAAAAATGAACTTCTGTTTGCAGGTATTTCTGCCGGCCATGTCCTTCAAAGCCCGCTCCGACGCCACGGCCGGCGCCGCCGCCGCGGAGCCGCCGGCCTTCCCCGCGGACGTGGAGCACGTGGTGGCGGGCGTGGCAGGGGAGGCGCTGGAGGCCTTCTGGCTGGTGAAGGGCATGTACACCTTCGAGAACGTGGGCGTCTCGCACAGTGTGCAGCACGTCAAGTACCTGACCTGCGCCGACTGCGAGATGGGCCCCATCGGCTACCACGCCGTCAACGGCAGTCGCGACGACTTCTTCATCGCCAAATCCCGGGTCAAGGAGACCTGAGGGATTGACGGGTGGATGGGCGACGGATCTCCATGGCGGATGTTGACCAACAGATGCGGGTTTTTATTTTAAATAAATAAAATTTTTGGCTGGTATGTTTAGTTTGTGAGAATTTTTTCGACGGTCGATTTTGTGCGTGACTGTAAAATAATCATCGGAAATTCCGTTGGTAAAAACGTTTCTTTTAATTCGCGGTTTTGTTCTGCTACCCGATGTGTTCGTGCGCGAAGCATTAATGGCTAAGCGCACCATTAATGTAATTTGACAAAATAAAAATACCATTTAATGTTGTAAGTTTCTAACACATCGCGTAAACTGACCTCGACGACGATATTGACCAAGTTCTGCTGTTTCTGTTTCCCAAAATAAAAATTCATTTGCTGATGTTTTTAGTTGATGTTAAATTGTGAATATTAGTCTGTCGGTTTTGTGGGTGACCGCCGTACATTAATACACTACTTAATGCCAGCGAATTCCGCCAGTGATATTGTTTTTGTTCAAAAATTCTTTATTCGCTTCAGTGGTATAAAAAAAGTTCATATGCACTTGGTTTGTTTACAGTACATGTGTAAATTGTTAAGACCCAGTGTAAATTGTCAGATTCTTCCGCATCCTCGAAACCACAACACTACGAAAATTCACAAAAATATTTCTTAAGTTACAACTCGGCTTCTGAATTGTCAACTTAACAGGACACGATGCATTTCAGCGCAGGACACTTAAGCCTGAAAGCCGCAACATTACGTTCACTATATTTTTTCCGTATAAAATCATCCCGGTTCATTTGATCACTTATGCCTGTCCATTACTTTTAGGACTGCATGCATTTCTTAAAATTAATCCCAGCGTCAAAAACGGTTTGTATTGCACATATTGCTGCCGGTGCTCCTCTTTCGCCGTTCCCACGCAATGAAATTCAGGCGGCCGGGTATTTTTATTCTTCTTAGCTTTTACAATCAAGTCATGATTTTTTTTCAATTTGGAATTTTCTGTTTCATGTTTACTAAAATAAGTGCGACAGGAAATGTATACCAACGAAAAAACAGAAGGTACTGTACAGTCTGTACTTACACTACCCCGAACAAAATTGACTCCGAAACAAGGTTTCCTTATGCATGTTTGTTTAAAGCAAAAAAAAATTCAATCGGTCTGTATTAAATTTATTTGCGTTTCGGGAGTCGAACATAACCACAGCACAGTATTGTTAATACATATTTTGGCACAGAGCACTCATGTAGAAGAGGCACAAAATGCCATCATGCTACAATTTTGCTATATTTGTATTTGCTGTAGGAATTGGGCTTACATACGAGTATACATTGGAACCTATGCGCCCATTGAAATTCACGAGTATCTATCTGTAAGCTTTTTATGCGATGTACTCGTATTATAAAAATCGTTAAACGAAAAGAAGTACCAGAAAACATCGACGCTTAGAAGCACAGCTGCCAACGGGAAACGTTGATAACGTGGCCCGAGAATAAAACAAGATTTCTGTAAATCTACTGAGCACAGTTGGGACGTCGCGGTGCACATTGTGGATGAGGAAGTAGCTGGATGTCGGCCATGGTCAGCAGGCGGTAGTGGTGATCTTTGGGAGGTGCATAGTGCAACTGAACGGGAAAGATAGTCGCTGCGCGCGATTCAGTACTGCAGCAGCAACAACAACTGAGTGTAGTAATAAAGCAACGGTGTAGCTCGAAATATAAAGTAAAACCGTCGTAGTATAAAGGAAAAACAAGAAACCTCATCATCGAATAAAAGACAGGTAGGAAAGGCGTGTATCAAAAGCGCTTAGCCGATGGAGATGCCAGACGAGAGGTCCAGGCCAGCGGCGTCGGAAGAGGAGGAATATCACAGGACACGGTCAGGCCAGCTTGATTCCCAGCTGGAAACCACCGGGTGGAACGGCGACACCAAGGTAGAGTTTCTCCACATTGGCCTGTGAGTAGCATTGGTTCGTTTGTCTGAAAATGCCGCTGAAGAAGCTGCATAACCCCGAAGTCATAGGGTTCATGGTGGTACAGGTTTTTCAGCGGCGTTGGAGTACCGGTCAGGCGCTCGGCGTACCACTCCGGGCTTATTGTCCCCGGAATCCGCGTAGCACCTACCGCTGCAACATAAATAACATTATGCCTTCTACATCTAAACAGTGTGCCACCCGGTCCACTTGCACTATGTACAGACTACAGAGTATATGCTTTCACTCCGAATGTCTTATCTACAGATAAATTAAGTGTTGTTTGAGCCATACGAGGACAATTGGGTGCTGTGAACATACCCTTCACGATTAGGATGCGATGAACACCCGGGAACTAACTTTACAGAAAATGTTAATTACTCAAGTATTTTCACCGTCTATTTCAACAAATGACGGTCCACAAAAAAAATTATCGTATCTTCAAACCACATTTTAGAACTTATATGTATTGTGTATGAAACTTCCTTCGTTTTCAGTATGAATAGTACGAGGACAGTAGCGTTGCGAGCTGTAGACTAGTCGGATGTTCATTGCACCCTAATCGTGAAGGGTATGTTCACAGCACCCAATTTTCCTCGTATACATACGCTACGGACGTATCTCGCATTGGAAGCGATTGCTACGTATCTGTAGACTGGGTATTCGGGTAGCGGCCAGCGCAGGTACCGCCATCTGGGTGCACTTGTCAGCAGCTTTTCACAGCTGCTCGCGATGGCCTTAGTCCTGGGGATGTGGCCAAAGGGAACGTACTGTTGGATACATCCATGGATTAAGGCCATGCACTTGCCCCATTCTCCTGGGCGGTGGGGATGCTGTGGGTACGATAGCCGGTTATCAGGGCTTCTCGGGTCGTTTCGGCCGTAGTGCATGATCGAATCCATGTCGTATAGCAGCCCGAATATGGCCATGTCCGACAGTATCGCCCAGTTTCGTTCATCGACTCCCAATATCATTTTACCAGTCGCCCGGACAAAGTTGGCAACATTAGCATCAACGTCATTTGTGCCAACATAACCAGCCCGCTCCGGGATGGATATGTTAATATCATGCTCAATGGACACCCTCATCGTGCTCATCCCGATCATGCTCATGGACAAATCGTCATCTCAAGGGAGAACAACAGAAAGGGTAAAATCGCGGTTCTTCGCTGTATTACAGTAGTACTCCTGGTCAACTATCCGTATCCTCTAAGCGCAATACCGGATAATCCGTGGTCTTTATTGGTCTTATGACAATACTGTCATTTCGGGTACTTCTTTCACCAAGTGGCAGTTCCGGGTGAATGTTGCCTGCCCGTTGAATACTGTCACGAAATCGCTCACTCAAGGAAGTTATCAGTTGGTCCACAGAAGGTAAAGCGATGCCTATTCTGAAATAATCTTCCGCCTTGTCCGTCACAGGGTTATTTCGTTGTGTTTGTTTACCAGCACGACGCGGGATTCGTTTGTCGATCGATTTCCCGCTCTTCTGCCAAACTCATCACTTCTTCGGATATATCCCCAAAACACTCTCTAATATCCTCCCGCACTTCGAGAGTTCGACCGCTTTCATAAGTTGACATGTGAAGTATAAACCGGCTGTTATTCGCTACCAGGCTACCAGCACAGCCACAAGATCCGGCATGCCCTTGGATTTTTTCCATGAGTTGCATTTTTCCATGAGCAGCTCATGGAAAAATCCAACGGCATGCAGGATCTCGTGCTGGATTATGCCCGTGTGCGACAGGCATTCCGGATGTAACATGACTTTAGTGGGTCGATGGTCGTAACGCCCAATTTCGGATTGGCATCACGCCGTCAATGTAAAGGTCAATCTGTTATCCTCAAAGTTTAAGTAACTTAATCAAGGATCTTACGTTGGTGACCTTCCGGATGTTCTGCGAAAACCAGTATACAGTGTGCAAACCTGTATGGTTGTTCGGTTGTAGGAACTTGCATGTGCCAGCGTAACACCCTGCAGTTGCGACCCAGGCGTTTACAATGCTTCTCCCTCACCTTGTCATCTGAAAAGCACCGGGTGCTCCTTCAACATGCGTGCAGAGTACAACATCAGTAGATATGCGAAAAACCTTTAGTGTGGTGAGGTGTGGTGGTCACCCGGCATCTTACCGCAGTCCGACCATATTAAAGTACCGGCAAGGTGGATAAAGGGAATATATCTTTTCCCGACCTGACAACTATATTGGCCGAACAATGGATATATATTCTTTGGCCCGTAGCTGTTTCCAATCCGGGGTATTACTTTTCGCGAATATCCCCTGGCTCATCGACGTCCCATACAAATTCGATACACCTCGTATAATAGCGCCAGATCTCATTATTTGAATGATTCCGTTATGTCTTACTGGCTCCCACATTTAGAATACAACGTTGTAGAATAAATCGGAGAATTGAAACTTTCCAATTTGCCAGGCTTTCGGTGCTCCTCAGCCACACTAAGTCTGTAATTGAACGCACCATGCTGTCATCGTACTCCCTGCTAGGAGCGGTACGCTTTGCTGCCACTTTCGATATTAAAATCGTACTACAATCTAGGTAGTATAAATACAATCATAATAATTAATAAACTGCAGCAAAATTAAATCATGATCAATCATTCAATATAACATAATAATGCGTAATAGTTTAATAATAAATAATAAATAATAAAATAATAATAAATAAAAAATAAAAAATAAAATATAAAAAATAAAAAAATAAAAAATAAATAAATAATAAATATAAAATAATAATAAATAATAATATTAATAATAATGCGTAACATAATAATGCGTAATGCGTAATAGTTTAGACTGATTTCAAAAATGGTTTCTCATACCTGAATAAGAACACGCCCCTGTACCAATCCACACAAACATACAAATGCCCCAGCTAAGGAGTAAGGACAACTGCACTTTCCAGTCGCCATTTAGACGGCACTGTTCAAGCGGAAAGGTGGCTAGCCATGCGACACAATCGAAGAGTTTCTTGTCGACCGTACGTTCCCTTAATTTATAGTTGTAAGTTTGTAACCGTATGTGAGTTTGCGCTGCACCAATAATCGCCCGATGTAGTCAGCTAACTGCTAAGGTAAAGACCATATATCACAGACAGGCTGTGAATCGTGAAGTTCACGTATAGCGCACTCAGCGCACGTGTGTGTAAACTGTACAATTAATATACTAATCCTTCAAGTTCAAGGTTATTCTGTATACACAGAGCGTCAAGGGTATACACTGTTGTACAGGGTCAAACTCAGTATGGCATCGCATGTCAAAGCCAGTTTACTGCCTTAAATTATTTACTTACTCTTCAGAGCTTATGTAAATTGTGTGCGCGATGCGTTTACTCAAGGGAAACAGGAAATCGAGTTGCACAAGATCGCACTTCATTGTTACTAGTACCGGTTGTCTCGTACGAGCAGCCAGTTTCTTTTTTTTACAGTCATGCATTTTATTCTATTCCACATAATAAATGCAATCACTAGAAAATAAAATGTACTAAGTCATCAGAAACTGTATCTGTGAAGGGTGGTACTGGCTAATCGGTCATTCTGATTGGCTTTATGCATAGTACGTACTAAGATTATTCAGCTACATCGCAAGACATTTGCCGACAACGATAACCCAGTCTGCATACAGTGTAGGCCCGCGAAATGTAGATGGCAGATGCCGCGTTGTAATGCATATTGAGCCAACCGTGTATTTATACGCTATCCCCGTTAGCGAAGCGCCGATCATTCACGCGCGCATGCTTATGGAGGTGGAAGCATTTTTGACTGTTGAGAATAATTACTTCGATTTTTCTCCTGTTTGGGTCACGGTTTTATATTTTGGTCACCGTTCACTTATACCACCCTCCCCCCTACATAGCGCGCTACATGAATTGCTGCTGATTGCACACGGTGTTTTCATGTTTCGGTCACTTGGAATATACGCGTTCTTATATTTCGGTGAGCTTGTGTTAAAATTTCCTGAAATGAACAGTTTACATATCAAAAGCTTTGCATCTGAATTTCGAAGCATGCACTTGAAATGATTTCCATAAAAAACCAAAGGATGAACAGAAACTGAACCGGGGTGCAATGCAAAAGAACCGCTCTTCCATGTTTACAAATGTCCGAAATGTCAGATTCGCACATTTTCAGTTCTCTTTGGATGACTACAGAGTACAGACCAGCGAAAAACAAATCAAAAACCCGGTAAGTATACACATACGTACATATCGACGCTGCCCGTTACAGTTCCTGCCGAGGTAGGAGACGGGAAGTGGTTGTACTGCGCGGTCGCCACGCCCGAAACGGCAGAACGGGTCGTCTGACGCCACCAAAACTTTATACCACCCGCGCTGTTCCGCTGAGTAGGGCCGTGTCGATCCGTTCCCCCAGTGGGCACAAGTACGTACAAACCGACCGTCCCCAACACCAGCACCTTCATGATCAGCGCCACGACTCCGGCCGGTGGAGTGTCTCCTGCCCTGCGGCAGGGTGACCTTTGCGTCCTGTGCATGTATCACCTGCAGCTGCAGCCGCCCAAGGAAAAAATCTCAGGCTAGACAGTGCCTCCTGCTTACTCAGTATTATGAACATTGGATTGTTAGACATTTTATTATGATGAAGGACAACAGTTGTCACATCATGCCATCGTTCTACGATTTATAGGTAATTTTATTCGACACCAGTCAGCTTACAGATCAGATGGGCTAGCACAGGTTTACACTACTTAAAATGATCAGAATTTAAACATTGAAAAAACATCCAAAATCGTTAGTCCCATTAGTGATCTTGGGGCGTGCAGTCAGTGTACCCAAAACCGCAGCTGCATTTCCTCTGACTACTGCAAGGCTTAAGCGCTGCCTTAAAAGGCCGTAGATCGTGGTTCTCCGGTAATTTCGCGGATCTTACGGCCGGCGAAACGGATGAGCTCAGCAAAAGATACTCCAAACGTACCGAACGTTTCCACCGCCAGAGGGTAGAAAAAATATCCCAGTTCTTCGACGAAAGCATATTTGTTGCGCTTGTAGTTTTCAGCCAACTGGGCTACGCTTCCGGCTTTTCTTGAACTGGCACTAACGTGGGACATGGCAACAGTGTCCCAGCACGTCGCATCCCACACAACTGCCCTTCCATCGCGCACGGGAATTAAAGTCATGCCATCCACGATTTTCTACATTGTTGGTTATGCTGTTTGTACTGTGAATTATACGTCTATGCGTAGATGAGATGGTGCCCGCCATAAACGATTACAATTTTCAGTCAAGTATATCAACTTCTTTCCTTATGTGATGTGCAAACTTCAAAGTAAGAAAAATATCATTTTCTATAAATAACTTTGTTATCATAGCTGTGTATAAAACATGTGCAAATTAAATAAAAAAAAATGTGCGCTCAATTTCCACAAGTTGTTGTGCAGTGCCGGCAGATGCGAGCGTGAATTCTCTAAATAATCGATCATTTCTTGACTTGATAAAAGCGATGACGTAAAACAATAGAGTAGCCGAAACAAAGATCGTTCGGTTGGCATTCAACTTGGCCACCTATAGTAAGTGAACGGGAGCTGATTGAGAGCAGATTAGGTTTCACTGGTTTTGTAAAGTATTCTTTCACCGATTTATGATTGGGCAGAAAACAGCCACAGAACCGCAATGCCAACCGCCTGGGATGTGGTTTCAATGGCGCACGCAACCGGCAAAATCGTCCGGACGGATGAACCGTCCGCCGGACGCTTTTGCCGGCAACAGGCGAATTTCATTAAATCCGGAAACTATAATTACGACAAAAGCCCAGTGCTCATTCTGCAATCTGCACTGTATGGTACAGTATTTTCATCTTTTCGAAGTACCCACTAGTGGATCACGCTGAACTGCAAAATTTTTTCAGGATAATTATCCGTCTTACCATACTTGTGTTGGGACTGCCGGGATTACCGTCTGAATTACAATATATTTAAGAATTTCAACATATTCATGCGGCTGTTTCCGTCCAGATCATCCGCTGCCTACCAAGTATCAGCCGAAGCGATGCCGGTCGCGCACTGGCCGTCTGGTTGGCGCCTTTCCAAGTGCCGTCGGCGACCGCTGTCGGCATCGCTTCACCTGCTGGACAGCGGATACCTTCGAAAGAAACAGCCGCATGCATTGCCGTTAATCAGCTGAAGTGGCTAACTTGCCGACCATCATTACTGCCTGTCCTCCGTTTAGCTTCCCAACAATTTGCTGATCGACATTGACCGACAGATTACTGATTCACAATTGGCATTACTTCAGTTTTCTTTCCCGATTCTTACACAATTGTCTGGTTGACCGACAGCTTGCTTATCGTTCTTTATCAGGCTTCTTAACTTTTGCAGGTCTGCGTTGCTTCCTTCGGTTCCTTGCGAGTTTTCTCGATTTCGAGTTTCTGGGGTTTTCTTATTTTCTTAGGTTTTTTGCATTTCGTTTTCAACAGATTATCGGGTAAGCATTTTGTCGGTCAGCAAAAATTCGTCAGCAACTTGTCGCCGTCGGTCAGACCAGCTATAATTGGTCGCCGGATCTGCTCTGTGTCCATCATTTGTATGCTGTCCTTCCCAAGAAAGTGGAAATTCAACGGCAGTAAACCCGGCTTTCGCAACGCAGATCGAACGAATTTATCGATCCGTATTCTACATCCAGCAGGACAATGATGATCCATTGATCCGCATGTGCAGCAGCATTTTCTATCTTGTAAAGCAGCATTTTCTATCTTGTAATGTTGGTCGGTGTATCGCCATGCGCCGTGAATGGCTGTTCTTTCGGCAGTGCGAACCCTGGTAATTCTATTATTTAGCGACATCCCATGTTTCACCGTTTTGTAGATTTATAGTAGATACAGTAGGCAGCGCTGCCTACGACACTGTTGATTTCCTATGGACTGTTACAGAATACAGATGAAAGCATTTTTGACTGTTAAGGATAGCAGTACTCTGTCTTCCAGTACACAATCATGTCCGGGTTGTACTGCAGTACAGCGTTCGCGTGCATCGCTGGCGGTGGAGTCGGCCTCACGCCACATTACTGACCGCGTCAACAACCTGTCCGCCCTAGAGGACGCCCCGAGCACTGTAGCGACGTCGACGGTACAGCCATCGCCCGATACAGTCCTCGCCGAGGTAGGAGACACGACATCCATGCACTGCCATGTCGCCGCGCCCGAGCGGATCGTCTGGCGCCAACAGAACACCACCGCCCACGCTGTCCCAATGGGTCGGGCCGTGGCGACGCATTCCCCCAACGGTCACGCCTACGGACAATACACCGTGGCAAACATTAACACCTTTATGATCTTCTACGTGCGCCACGACTCCAGCGGGACGCTGGAGTGTCTCCTGCCCTGCGGCGATGACCTTTGCGTTCTGCGCACCTTTAACCTGCAGCTGGGGCTGCCCGACTTGACCGCCCGGGACTTCTTCGTGCTGCCCATGCGCAACATGGCCACGCCGAACGGGACCTTGTCCATGACGTTGCACGGGACGCGTCGACTGCAGCCGGACGTCGCCCGCGTCGCGTTTTATCTGGAGATACGCCGGCTACGGCGCTCTATCCGGATCTGCTGGGCGGGGACATCCTTGGTCTGCTCAACAACACCGTCACCTTCAACGTGTCGGTGCAAGGAGCGGCCGGTCCGTTCTGCGACAGCAAGAGGGAGGAGCCGAGTGGCGCGGATGGACTGCTGGTTCCGCACTGACGTCCATTGAAAGAGATTGAAATCTTTTGAAAGATTTTGTCGCTGTACGTGAGCCGCTTCTTGCTTCACAGGGTATTACAAATGCAATTTGTCAGGGTACGTTGTTAAGTTTTCCCATCTTATACTGCATACTTCTGAATTTCCTTCTTTGGAAATGTTCAGCTTCGAGGTTCCCGTGAAACAATTATGTTTTTTTAAGGAAATGAATACAAACGTAATATGAAAACATTTTGTACTTCTGACTCTCGGTACACGGGCGCGGGTTACGTACGCTGC